CACATGTACCCCAATGTTCATAGCAGCACTCTCCACAATAGCTAAAACATGGAAAGAGCCTAAGTGTCCATCAACGGACTAATGGATCAAAAAGATGTGGCTTATCTATACCATGGAATACTCCATGGCAATGAGAAAGAATGAAATCTGGCCATGTGTAGCAACATGGATGGACCTTGAGGGTGTTATGCTGAGTGAAATAAGTCAGGCAGAGAAGGACAAATATCATATGTTTGCACGTATAGGAGGATTAGGAGGAACTTAACAGAGGACCAAGGGGGAGAAGAAAGGGGGAAATGGTGGGGGAAAGGGAGAGAGGCAAACCATGAGAGACTCTTGAAGGCTGACAAAAACTGAGAACTGATGGATGTAGGGGGGAGTGGGGATGGGCATGGAGGAGGGCACTCGTGGGGTTGAGCACTGGGTGTTATGTGGAAACTAATTTGACAATAAGCTATTTGTAAAAAATTAAAAAAAATAAATTAGGAAGTGTTTGCTACCAACGTGCCCTTCATTTTCGGGATTATTCTAGGTGTATGTTACCCGGTGACTTCCATATGAATGTTTGGATGGATTTTGATATAACTGCCAAAAATGTCATTGGATTTTGATAGGGATTTCATTAAATGTGTAGAACACTTTGCACACTATTGACAGCTCACATATTAAGTATTCCAGTCCAAGAACATGGATATGTTTCCATTTGTTTCTTCTTTCAATTCCTGCAAAATATTTTATAGTGTTAAACTAGGTTTGACTTCTATCATTATGTTAAAATGTGTTTTTTGTAATGAAACACAACTAATTTTTATGTGTTGTGTTTGTATTCTCCAAAAATGTAAACTATGGATGAGTTTTACATATAGGGAATCTTCAGAGGGGAGAACAATGGCAGTGGAGTAGCAGGACCCTGGGCTCCTCAGTTCTCATGAACAGACTGGATAATTGACAAATCATTCTAAAAATCCCAGAAATGAGCCTGAACCCTGACAGAACCAAGTCCCCAACTTATGAGTACGAAGAGACCACACACACTGAAGAGGGAGAAAGTTTAAAGACATGGTTTAGGGAGAAGGATTGCAGTGCTGCAGAGGGCAGAGAGCCATGGTCAAGGAGAAGGTCACGTGAGACAGGAGCAGACATGGGAATGCTTAAGGAAAACATTTGCCCAAAACCATTCTTGGAATATGAAAAGGGCAGAATTTTATGAGCTCTGGTAGTGAGCCTGTATTAAAGCCTGTGTGAGTTTTAAAGATCATCAGGCTTGGCTGGAATAGAGTCAAGAAGGAGGCAAACAATCTGAGGTCAGTCAATGTGGCAGAGTCATCTGAAGAATGACTGGAACACACAGGGTAGGAGATTATTCACTACACTAGAAACACATCCCTGACAGGCAACATTCACTGAGATGCTTGTTGAGGAACTAAAGACCTAGCTGAAGCTCCTTCTCTCCCCAGCCCCTCAGTAGCAACACAGAGCCACCTGAGGGAAGTAGCTCAGTAGGGACACTGGATGTCTTTCTTGCTTACTCCAAGCCCCACCTTCCTTTGCTCAGTTTGTAGTGCCTTTGTCTATCAAGCTTGCCTCAGTCCCAGCAAGGTCTGCCCCTGCCCCATGAGACTTGCACAAGCTGCTGCCTACACCACATTTCCTGACCACACAGTTCTGCAGAGCCTCTATTCTGATGGAGTTGATGTCAGGTCTCAATTCACAAGCAGACCACAGCTCACCTAGTTATGACTTACATGTTCAGGCCAGGGATCCTGCACTGTTTTTAGCAGTCACAAAGTGCATCTGCAGGCCACTGGCTTAAATGACCTAGCAGGAGACCTAACTGTCATTTCTAACATACAGAGAAAGGCAGAGCCTTAGACACAATGCCAAAATGGAAGAATTCCTCCAAAGTCAAAGAACAAGATATGGCCGTGAAGAGAAATGTAAGTGAAACAATTACTAGGAACTTGCTTGATGGAGAATTTAGGCAACACTCATAAGGATACTCTCTGGGTTGAGAAAAGGATAGTGAGAACCGCACCAAGGAGCTAAAACACTTAAAGAATCAATCAGAGGTGAACAATGCAGTGAATGAGATTGAGGGACGTTTGGGTGGGTCAGTCGATTAAGCATCAAATTCTTGAATTTGGCTTTGGTCATGATGTTACAGTTTGGGAGATGGAGCCCCATCTTGGTCTCTGTAGTACCTGCCTGTAGCCTGATAGGGATTTTCTCTCCCTCTCTCCTGCTTTCACTCTCTGTATCTCTCTCAAAAAATAAACAGATTTCATTTTTTTTTTACGTAAAAAACATATTGGAAACAGGTTTAGCAGTGAACAGCAGGCTAGAAGTAACAAAAGAATGACTTTGTCACCTAGAAGAAAAAAAATAAAGAAAAATAATCTAAGCAAAAGACAGGAGAAGAATCATACAACAATATTGATGTAGGGAACTCAGAGACTCCATCAAATGTAATAATATTTATATTATGGAAGTTAGAAGAAAGAGAGGAGAAGGAACAGAACATTTATTTCAAGAAATAATAGGAGAAATCTTCCACAATCCTGGAAGGAAACAGACCTCCAAATCCAGGAGTATCAAAATGGTAAAAGTAAACAACAAGAGCAACAAAACAAAACAAACAAAACTATTTACTGCCTCTAAGAGACTCATTTAGACATAAAGACACCTGCAGATTGACAATGGGGAAAGGGAAAAACATATACCATGCCACCTGAATGTCAAAAGAAACCAGAGTGGCAAGACTTCTATCAGACAACTAGACATTTTGTTTTTGTATTGTGTTTATCCTGCTCAGTGTCAGTGTAATGCTGGCCTCACAGAATAGTTTTGAATATGTTTCCACTCTTCCACTATTTGTAGCATTTTGAAAAGATTGTCTTTATTATTTTTTTACATGTCAGAATTGAGCAATGAATGCATGTGATCTTGGCTTTTCTGTGCTGAGAGACTTTTTGTTTTGAATTCAACTTTCATTTTTTTAATAGGTATAAGAAGATTTCTGAATTCTTGGGTTTAAGAGTCCTATTTAAATCTTAGTAATGTGTGCATTTTTAGGAATTAACTGGAAATCTTTTGTTGTGGTTGTTGTTCATTTCTTTCTGAGAGAGAAGAGAGACAGAGTATGAGTAGGGGAGGGTCAGAGAGAGAGGGAGACACAGAATCCAAAGCAGGGTCCAGCCCCTGAGCTGTGAGCACAGAGCCCAATGCAGGCCTCAAACTCACTAACCCTGAGATCAAGACCTGATCTGAAGTTAGACGCTTAACAGACTGAGCAACCAAACACGCCAGTGGATTTCTTTCCTACTTGGCTTGTTAGTATATCATTGGATATGTAGTTGAAGCATTGCCAATTTTGTTCTCCTTGAACTGGGCATTATGTTCAATGTTATGTTATTTTTTATTCTGGTCTCTATTTTATTTACCTCTCATTTTTCTTTCTAAATAAAATAATTTCAGATGTTGCATTGTTAATCCTTCCTCTGCTAAATTTCAGCTGTCCTCCTTTCTAGTTCCTTTTGGTGTAATGTTACTTATTTCAATGTTTTCCTTATCTGAAGCATTTATAGCATTAAAAAAATAGGAAAATCGAAAGTAATAAAAAAGTTAGCAGAAATAATACAAGTGTTGACCAAAATAATACAAAATAAACGTAAGGATTCATTAGGGTTTTCTGTAGATCATGTCATCTGTGAACAGAGATTTTTTTTAAAGGTGTTTTAGCCTTCTTTATAGTAGTGTATCCCTTTGATTCTGTAACCGGGTAATGCTGGTACCACAGAGATGATTTTCATATTTTCCCTTACCTTGATCCTTGGGAATACTTGAGATTTAAAGTACTCTCTCATGAAATGTTTGAATTATCCAACGAATTAATCAAACATAAGACTTTTCTTTCTTCGGCGTTTGTTTGTTTTGCTTATTTTTTAAATTACCCTTTCAATCTATTAGTTGTTGGCAGTAGTGATTTTTTTTTCATGACGGAGTATAGGCAGCTAACTTTTTTTTTTCTATTCATTCTCATCTATTGGTATCAGTTCGTGGGCATATAATTATCAGTTGTTACTTCTTATACTCATTTTTATTTCAATGGTATTACTAATATGTGTCTGCTTTCACTTCACTGCTGCAACTAAAGTTGGTGTTTTTCATTCTTACTTGATTGAAAGATCTATCAATTTTGTTGATCTTTTTTGAAAACTAATGCTTCTTAGTTTTATTGTATCCTATTTTGTTGATTTCAGTGTTATGTTTACATTTCCTTCTGTGGTAATTTTGGGGTTGTGCGGTACTTTTCGTGATTATTTGAGGTATAGGAAAATGATTTGCAGTATAGCATGAGTACTACAGAATTATCTATTAGGCTGTATGGTCCACGTGTTGTGTGCAAGTTTTGTGTCCATGGAAGAAGGAAGTCCTGATGATTCCTTCTCAAACATATGGCCCAACATTTTCTGATTGATTTTAAGGTTGTATAATAGAGTCTGCAGTATATTCATCTGAGAGTAGTAAGTGGGATGATTTTACTTTCCTGTTATTTGGTATCTTTCAGCTGTGTCTTCACAATGCACCCAGAGTCTCCTGCCACAGCTGTGCTTAGAACCTTCTCTCCAAACAGTGTCAATGGGGGAACATAGTAGTCTTGAGAATTTACACTTAATGATAGACTGGGACAACAGTGGAGAGAGTGAAGGACATGAAACATATCAGGACGGGCATATCCAAAAGGAGATATCTGCCACTAAGAAGAATCTAAGTGCCCCACGTGGTGAAAAATATCAAGTATTTGGCAAAACTTCCCCTTTTAAGTTAGCTACTTCTGTCAGGCACTGTGTTTCAGTAACCAACACCTCAAATCAAATATTCAAATGTAAATATTTGTCGAAAGAAAATTTGGAAAATCAGGAAAGTGACCTCATTCATGTTGAAAATAACAATTTGAGCCAATTTGAAAATAGGATTGGATTGACCTTTCAGTCAAATTTTTCTGAATATCATAGATTGAAAACTGAAGAAGAAAGTGTTAAGTGGAATCAATTTGAGAGATGTGTCAGAACGTCAACCCTACAAAATTACATGACGATTTGGAATGGACATCGAATTGCTGTTTATAATGAATCTGGGGAGAAATTGGACCAGGGCTCAAACGTTAACAAATGTCTGCATATTCCTTTGCCAGAAAGTCATTTTGAATGTAATAAAGATGAGGAAGTCTTGTCTCAAAGATCTAAACGTATTATACAGATGAGTACTCATCTGAAAGAAAATCCTTGTAAATATAACGAACGAGGGAAAGTTCTGAAGCTGACCTCCAGTGCTGGCGATCATCAGACAATTTGTGTGGGAAAAAACGCGTACACATGTATTTAATCTGTAAACACGGTTAGTCAGTCACCAAGACTAAATACACAGAAGACGATTGGTCCTGGAGAGAAAGGGTACACTTGTAAGGACTGTGGCACCGTCTTTCATTGGAGCTCAACACTATCTCAACCTCAGCGAGCGCGTGCTGGAGAGAAACCATACACATGTGAAGAATGTGGTAAAACCTTTTAGGACTGCTCATCACTAAACAGACATGGGCAAATCCACATTAGAGGGAGACTTGCCAAATGTCAACAATGTGGCAAGTCCTTTAACAGGCACTCTTACCTCACTAGACATCACAGCATCCACACTGGAGAGAAACCTTATCAATGTAAGGAATGTGGCAAGGCCTTTAGTCAAAACTCAGGCCTTACTCGACACCTCAGAATTCATACTGGAGAGAAACCTTACAAATGTCAAGAATGTGGCAAGGCCTTTAAAGAGCACTACGACCTTACTGAACATCTCAGAATTCATACTGGAGAGAAACCTTACAGATGTCAAGAATGTAGCAAGGCCTTTAGCCAACACGCAAACCTTACTCGACACCTCAGAATTCATACTGGAGAGAAAACTTACAAGTGTCAAGAATGTGGCAAGGCCTTTAATGGGCACTCACACCTTACTCAGCATCACAGAATTCATACTGGAGAGAAACCTTACAAATGTCAAGAATGTGGTAAGGCCTTTAATCATTCCTCAACTTTACTCAACATTGCAGAATTCATACTGGAGAGAAACCTTATAAATGTAAAGAATGTGGCAAGGCCTTTAACCAGCACTCAAACCTTACTCAACATCTCCGAATTCATACTGGAGAGAAACTTTATGAATGTAAAGAATGTGGCAAGGTCTTTCACCACCACTCACTCCTTGCCAAACATCAAAGAATTCATACAAGAGAGAAACCTTGAAAATGTAAAAAGAATGTCAGTGCCTGTAAGTGACCCTCAGCCCTTACTGGACATCAGAGAATTCCTATTGGAGACTAACCGTACAAATGTCAACAATGTGGCAGGCCCTCCCTGCAAGTCACAACTTACTCAACATTCTAGTTATCACATAGGAGCAAAACTGTGAAACGGAAAGACAGTGGCCTCCCCTTTGCCTAGAATTCCATCTTTGCTCAATATCATGAAATGCACCCTGATGCAAGCTCTAGAAATGTAATGAATGAGGAAAGACCATCATTTTACAATACATTTTAGCAAACACCAGAGAGTGCATATATGAAATTAACTGGAAAGTTAGATTTATGAAAGTATTAAATTGAATATCAAAGGTCAATAATGTTACAGAAATTAAGTAGAAAGAAGTACATCAGTCACTCTCTTCAGACATACATCAAAATACTTGTAGGGAATAAGAGAAATTTAAACACTTAGAAAACATAGGTGCTATTCTGGTTCCAAAGATTTAGTGTATTTGTTTTTGCATAGGTATAATTAATTTCATAATGTGCTTTCTTTCTTTCTTTTTTTTTTACATTGACCCTATTTTGGATTAGTGAGTAGCAAATATTAATGTATTTCTCCTCTCAAATCACTGCAGATTATTCATTTATTCCCAGCGGGTATGTGAAACCACTGGCTGATTGCTGTTGTATCAAAGATAAGACATGCCCTTCTTCATTAGGTAGGACTCATGCATATCTAATTTTCCATGGAAGATAAAGGACAATATGATGTACAACATGTGAAGAAAATCTAAATGGAAATACTCTTTGTGGTTATAAGATTGATGCAAGTTATCATGAAATAGGTGTTCAGAAGACCATGCTTCTCCATTTAATAAAACTAAAAACTTTCTGAATATTAGAAATAAAATGTTTTATGATAGGTCTTAAAAGAAAAAGAGGTGGCAGTCCAGTGAAGTACTGGTAGATCTTCATAATAACAAGAGGGTATATGAGTTGATACAGCTGCCACGAAGACGTCTTCACAGACACGAGAAAGAGGATAGCTACCTCTTCCCACGAATGGCATACAATTGTACATGCACATGTCTCAAGAATTACCTCAGGCCTCAAATTTATGGAAAGACTACTCCCACATCATTATGTCAGCACATGAATGGTCTTTTTAACGTTTGTATTCTGTATATTGAACAAGGACTTGTTGAGTTGGGTGGATTTGAAATGCATAAATTAGTCTGTGTAAACTTAACATATTTTAATTAATGAACATGATGGTTTTATGTGTTAACAGGGATGTGTGATGAATGAACTGTGATTCCCACCAGCGATGTTAACCTATCGTCTTTATTTTAAGCTTGTAGGTAACTGATGGAATCTGTCACTTATTTACTAACGCAATGGCATAACATACCTAGTAATCCATTTTCTCAGCAGCCTTAGGGTTTACATAATATGTCATTATTTTCCCCCCGGTTTATCCATTGTACCACTTTCTCCTCTTTGTGAATATGGTGATATTATGATGGATATATTAGTGATTCTATATAGGTACTGTTGAACTTTTAGCTAAAGTACTCCATGAAACTGCTATTTGGAATTCATTTTTCACAGCCAGTATATATTTTTAAGTTTATTTCTTTATTGAGAGAGAGAGAGAGAGAGAGAGAGAGAGCATAAGTATGGGAGGGGCAGTGGGAGGAGGAGAGAGAATCTCAAGCAGGCTCTGCTGTCAACACACAACCCAACACAGACTTTGGACCCATGAACTGTGAGATCAAGAACCATCAGCTTAACCTACTGAGCCACCCAAGTGCCCCTAGACAGGCATTTTACAGGGTCTTAACTGATACCAGCCCCTCTCACTAGTACGTTCCCTTGACAACACCCTACACAGTCACAATATAATGCGACTTCTGATAATACCTTTTTAATCTGCCCTTGTGAGCCACCAGGTCTCCTTTCTCCCAATGCTTTCCCTCTGTGTCCCTTACAGAAGGCATAGAGCTTGATTAAACCTGTTGTAGTTTGAATGGCCCAATCTGGACATACCCAGGGGCTCTAAAGCATGCCACCATGGCAGCTAATCCAGGTATGTGCCCCCACTCATAAAGGGTGTGGAGGTATTGTTTTGTTGTGTGCATGAAGTGAACATGCACATGCTAGTGCTGGGTGTGTAATAGACACCCCATAAGTAGGAGAAACAAATTCCAGTAGTAGTGATCTTGTAGCCCCAGGTAAGACATAGAATATATACAAGGTAAAGAATTAGCATATGCCATCTGCATGTGGAGAAAGACCCCTGTCCCAGGTTGCACAACTGAGACTGTATGTAGAAAAATCACTTCTACTTGTGTTATTTCTGAGTTGTCTCTATATCTCCAGTTCTGTGTTTCTTCCTTTTTGGTTCCAGCTACAGAAGCATCACAAACATTGTTCTGTGCCTGTGTTGTGGTGAGAGTGTCCTCACTAACTGCTTATTTGAGACGAGAGACAGGTAAGGCCAATGGGTATTCAGACATGTAGCACTGGGATGTGGGATGGGAATCTAAGTAAAACATGATGATGCCATCATCTTTAGAAAGACCTATGAAAGGAAAACGTGAAGAACTCTTTCCAACGAAAGGAGGTGACTAGAGGTGGCTCCCTTTAGTCACCCCGGGTCATAGGCAGCTCTTGGTGGTGTCATCGGATGAATAAATGTCATGGGGATCAGGAATTGGCAAATGTGGTGGGTTTTGAAGATTGGGGATGTCCTCCTTTATCTTCATGATTTCACTGAATTCCTTTGTCTTACTGAGGCCCAGAGGCTGTTCGTTGACAAAGATTACTGGTTTGCCCAGGTCAAGACCAGAGGCGGTGGATGGAGAAGGGATTTTAGATGATTGCAGATATTTTGAGCATAGCTTTAAAATGTCACATAGCAGGGTGGCAAAGTAGATTCTGGAGATGTAGGAGACTTCTGGACACTGCAATAGGCAGGGTCAGCAGGACGTGTGCTGTGGTTGTCCCCACGCACTAATATCCCAGGATGGAACTCCAATGACAGTTAGATCTGGTGTAGATAGGTGACCTTTCAGGACAGCTGATGCACTGCTGTGAGGGACCTTCTGCCTTCAGTCAGCCCCGTGATGAAGATGGTCTTGTGCTCCGGTTCTGTCCATAGCCCAGATTTGTTAGAACTTAAGTTCAACAGTGAGAGGTAGTGAACTTTTCTGTTTCAAATAGTCCAGCACAAGTGTTCACTGACTCCTGATTAAATAAAGAATATTTGGTATATATGTATATATATGTACAAATATACCATGGAATGGTAATAGGCCATAAAAAGGTATGAATCCTTGACATTTCAGTGAGTGGATGGTGCTAAAGAGCATTTTGCTAAGTGAAATAAGTCAGAGAGAGACAAATTGCATATCGTTTCACTCATATGTGGAATTCCAGAAACAAAACAAGTGAGCAATGGGAAAAGAAAAAGAAAAGGTTAAGGCAAACCAAGATAAGGACACTTAACTATAGAGAGCAAACTGATGGTTACCAGAGTGGAGATGGGTAGGCAGATGGGTTAAATAAGTGAATGGGAATAATGAGGTCACTTGTGATTTGAGACCTGGCTATTCTATGTTGTTGCATCAGTATATTGTCCACATGAAACTAGTGTTACACTGTATGTTAACTAATTGGAGTTTAAAGAAAAACCTTCAGAAAAATGTTTTGTTCTTTACACATTTCAGAAACTTTTTCTCTTAGGTTAACTGACTTGCAGTAATTGCCCAGAATATAACTTGGTAGACAAAGGAAAAAATTTATCTTTTCTCCCTACCTGGTTCTTCCAGATTCCAGAAACTCTCAGTGACTGTTCTATGCTTGCCAATATATGTACATGCATACTTTCAATAAGAAGCTTTTCTCCTTATGACAAGATGCAGTTGGAAACACTGTTAGGGAACCAAGGCTTTGACTATGAGTTTCATAGCTGAGAAAGACCTGAATAATTCAGTATGAGGAGACAGTTCTAAGGATCTCTGATGGACTTCGTGGACCCAATAAATCCCCCTTGGAAGTATGGCAGGATACCTTGCTTATAGAGTCCCTGGCAGCCTCACCAGGTGAATCAAGAACTGTATTTCCTAATAGGTTCAAGAATCTTGAGGTACTCTGGAGACCCCAAGAATACAGAAATTCACCCAAAACTAAAGGTTTTTCAGGCAAAGTCTGATGGCAAGTGTTTGATTTGGTTTCTGCTCTTTAGAGCTTATTAAAAGTTCAGTCTAGTGATTCCTTATGAAAACTTCCAGCAAAGCTGGTTTTACAAAGTCTATAGGTCAAACCTCTATTGAGGCTGCATTTATGTAAATAAGGAGGTCAAGTTTTTTTCTCAAAATACACTGAGTTTGCAATCCAATTAGTGTTAATTTGGCTCTGCTCGATAAAGTGAGGGTGATTATAACAATGTTTCAATAACACATCTTTGTAGATTTAGACTTTAATATTATTCATCATAAACTGTACCAGATCCTGATTTCTTTTGTGTCCTCCAGTGCCTGGATAGAAATACCAAGGTATCATTTGTATTAAATTTTTATTGAATTTGAGAGAGACACAGAGTGCACACGAGAGGGAGGGGCAGAGAGACAGTGATAGGGAGAATCACAAGCAGTCCCCCTGCTGCCAAATCCCACAGCCCAAAGCTGGCCCAATCCCAGCAACTGTGTGATGATGATCTAGCCAAAATCAAGTGACTGACGCTTCATGGACTCAGCCACCCATGGTCACCCATCCCCCAAAGGAACATTCTGATTTTTCTCCTATCTTTCCGTGTTGGAATCATTGGAGAACTATAACTTCCTTCTTTCCTGAAGCTCTGAAAACTTTATACAAGTGACTTGATGTAAAGAAATCGTCATTATAGTTCATGTCCAGACCATCTTAGTGCTATGCCTCTATGGGCCCCTGAAAAGCTTATCAGAGGCATTTGAACTATAAACCAGGAAGATCCAT